TGTGAGGATAGTACTAGAGGTCAGAATTAACTACCTCGAGGCCTACGGGGCCGAGGTGTTACAAGTGGTATCAGAGCAACCCTACGACAGTGTGTTGACCCGTTGGATATTGGGTGGGCACTTAGCGGGGCAAGATTCTGGGTTTTGATTGAGATTGGTTTACGGGTGCAACGAGGACGTTGCGTTCCTAAGTGGGGGTGATTGTAACACATGAGATTTAATTTAAATGGATTAATAGTACTACTCATACAAACAAGGTGCATCTCCTTTTAAGGGAGCTCATTAGCCAAGAACTCCAAAGTTAAGTGTGCTTGCACGGGAGTAGTATTGGGATGGGTGACCCCCTGGGAAGTTTCTCAGGGCACGCACGAGTGAGGACAAAGTGCGCGGAAAAGGCTAGTGGCAGTTTGTGAGGATAATACTAGAGGTCAGAATTAACTACCTCGAGGCCTACGGGGCCGAGGTGTTACACTTACCAAATGGAGCGGGGAATAGGAAGTTTATCATTGTGGTTGTGAATTACTTCACGAAGTGGGTGGAGGCGGAGCCGCTCGCCAGCATAACACATCTGCAATGCAAGAAGTTTATATGGAAGAATATCTTTTGCCGATTTGGGGTCCCTCTGCAAATTATTTCTGACAATGGAAGACAGTTCGACTGTGAACCAATTAGGCAGTTCTACGCCGAGTGGGGCGTGGAGTCAAGTCGGGTATCTGTTTTCTATCCCCAAGCAAACGGACAGGTGGAGAATGCCAATCGCACGATCATAGACGGCCTCCAGAAGAAGTTAGAAGCCCTTGGAACGACGTGGGATGAGGAGCTAAGTAACATACTCTGGACGTTCCGAACCACTCCTAGGAAGGCAACGGGTGAAACTCCTTTCGCCCTATGATATGGCTTCGAGGCGAGGGCACCCTTCGAGGCAGTGATTCCCAGCCGACGGGTGGAAGAGTTCGATCCGGCTGACAATGAGGAGAGGCTCAAGGCCGAACTCCACCTCATAGAAGAAAGAAGAGACCGGGCATTCATCAAAGCAGAGAATTATCGCAGGCAAATAAAAGCATACCAGGACAGCAGGGCAGCACCGCGAAGTTTCGACGTGGGCGACTACGTGCTGAGACGGAGGAAGGCAAGCTGACCAACAGAAGGGGGGAAACTCGCCATTAAATGGGAAGGACCTTACGCTGTTGAAGCCGTGGTCGGACCGGGAACTTACAAATTAAAGACTACGACGGGAAACCTCATCGACCGCGTATGGAACGCAGAGCATTTACTTAAGTTCTATAAGTAGTGATATGTAATAATTGATCATTTCCGTTATTTCTAATAAAATTCGTTTCTTTCTTCTTCCAATATTGAACTATATGAGGTTCGGCCTCACTTGGGAACAAACTGGCGGAGCAAAAAAAAAGAATCTAAGAATAATAATAATGAAACTCACGCTCTGCTCTCGGTGTTTAGTCGACCACGGCTCCGTCCTCGGGCAAGGAGATGAACAAATTATTCTCCAAGTCCAGAATTAGCCGCTCGGTCAGGGCGACCGCAAGACTGGCCTCCGGGTCGAAAAGGTGTGCGAGAAATGTGTTCCGAGCCCCTCTCGCGCATACGTTGTCTGGCATTGCTGTCTAAACAGCTCATACATTCGTTTGATCTAGTCGATGATGTGGCAACGATATGACCGGTTTCTGAGCCGAAAGTATACGAGAGGTCGTGCTTCGCGCCCCTATCGTACATCCGTTGTCTAACGTTGCTAGGCCTAGCAGCTCGCATACTTTTTCGATACGGTCAACGGTGCGGGCCCATTCTAGTCTGACCATATAGGGCCTTTCCCTTACGTTTGGCTGACTTTAGTTTGATTTTCATAAAGGGATGGTTGAATTTCCCCTAAGTAAGAAATTAACTATACAAGTCAGGGTGTAAGACTGGCCTAAGGGCTGAAGGTGTGCGGGGAGTTGTGCTCCGAGCCCTTCCCGTACATCTGTAGTCTGACCACTCACTAAGCGGCTTGCTCGCCAGTTGGTCCTTAACCGACGGTGTGCAGGTCTGCCCCATTTTTTCCAAGTAGGGCGTGCCCAAGGTTGGTCCTGTCGGCTTCCGCCCCTCATGGTTTAGACGGGGAGCTAGATCCCCGATTAATTTCCCAGGTGGTCTTGTATTAAAGATAATTGCATGAGCACGAAAGAGTAAAAACGAAAGTGCAAATATGAGATTACATGACAGAACAGCCTGTAAACGGCCCGCCAATCAGGCTAAATATTTGTGAATCCAAACGGGAGTGCGGAATGTAAACAAATAAGCGAACGAATGAAGAACAACAAGGAGAAGGAGCTACAATCTACGATTTAGGGATCAGGCAGGTTATCAGGAACGCTATCCAGGACAGTCACAAAATCAAAGGCATGTGTCGAGCCCTCCAGGTCATCTGGAATATCCAAGTGCAAAAGGGACAAATCATTCGCTTGCTCGTTGGCCCCGTCAGGATCTGGCATGATTTCAGGCAAACCAAATTTCTCGGGATCGAAGTCGGGATAAAACTCTGCTAGCCTGTTGTACAACGTGGTCTGCATGTCGTATCGACCACATTTGAAGGAAATGAGAATTTCCTTATCCCGCCAAAGCTGACCCTCCTCGGTTTTCAACCATGCTTGGACCTACTCTGAGCGGTGAGCCTCTAGCCTCGAAGTGATGATCTCTGAAAATTCCGAGGAAGTTTGGAAAGCCGCAACTGCCTGACGCCCCGCATCCATGAACGATGCTTCCAGTCGATCATACTTTGATTGTAGAAAGTCATATTTTGACTGGAGCTCGGACAGAGCAGCTGCTGCTTCGTTCGCCCGACGCTGAACGGCAACCGAGTGACGGTGAGCCTCGTCAACCTGATGCTGGAGCTCCTCGCGACGGTGACCTATTGTTTGAAGCGCGATGGCTATATCCACTAGCCCCTGCAGGAAACATGGAATTAATGAGGATTATAGTGACAATAATAATAAAAAAAGGAAGAGTGAAACGTCAAATCACAACCTACTGCACTGTAAGATTTGATAGAGCGCGTCACATCCAAAATCGATGAAGCACTAGGGGTAGGAGCTGGATGGTTAACAGGAGGGGCCCCACATTTTTTTCCCGCAATGAAGGGAATGACCTCGGTCCTCGAAGGCCGGAACTTGGCGTCCTCCTCTGCGGCCAGAGCAGCGTGTGACACCGTCTCCAAGCATGTTTACTTTTAGTAAATGATGTAGTAAACCTTGAAAGATGATTTATGAATTTACGTAATTGTTAAATTTTATTATTTCTTTTACGTGAATAGTAAATTGCATGTGGGGCCCACAACGGGAGCAGGGGCCGCCCGATAATTTTTGAACCACATATTATATTCATCTTGGTCTAGATGACATTTATATGGTTGTGGATATTTTATTTGGGCCATAGGAAAGGCGCGGAGTTGACCGGTGGTCAAACGAGGCCCAATTACCGGTATTGGTAATTTAGCGGATAACAGCCCGAAATAAGTGTCGGAGACTCGTAAATTAATGTTGGGGAATGTACATCTATTCTAAAGGCCCATAATTATTAGGAACGAGTGACATATTTTATTTGGCCCGATAAAATAAAATATAATTAAAACGGACCGAGAAATACAACTTTCGGGGCCGATTGTACACACCGGGACATAACAGGATGACCTCCCACCTAAGTGGGGGCCACCCCACGTTTTTGTGTGCTCCATTTGACTGAATGGGAGCTGGAAGAGACAAGGAAAATGGGCTGGGGTCGAACTATAGGAAGAGGGGATGGATTGAGACCAAACCCCATGTCCTACACATTGACTTCCCATTTGATTGAGGAGATTTGTCCCCTATCATTTCTCATCCTCAATCATACGACCAAGGAAAGGAGAGGAGCTCAGGAGAAGACCCTCACAAAGCTCATAGCTTGAAGGAAGCAAGGAGTAAAGGAAATCCAACTCAAAAAGGCTAGAAATTAAGGTAAGAACTCAAATAGTTCTTTTAATTAGTTTTTGTAGTATGATTTTAAAGAAATCATATGGTGGATTAAGCATGAAGTTCCACACGTTTAAAAGTGTAGAATATTGATATAAAGTGGTGATATTTAACTTAGAGGAGTTGGTGAATCGATAGGAGTCGAAATCGCCGGAAAACGCCACTTTAAGGGAGTTGCTCGTATCTGCAGCACACGAAAGCCGTCCGGCTTTTGTGTAAGCCGCCCAACTTTTGTGAAAGCCGCCCGGCTTTGGCCCAGCAGTCCAGATTTTCACTTTCAATCGGCCTAGAACGGGGATTGATCGAGGGGCTTAACAAGGGCAACTATTGTAGCACATCACGAGGTGAGGATGGCTGACTATATTGCTTATAATTAGTGAGTTAATTTCATAAGATTACCTAAGGTAATTAAATGGGATTTTCATGGGTTATTAATGATTAATAATGCCCAAATGAAAATAATATTGATATGAGTAAGTGAAGCATGATATACAAATTTAGAATAATTGTGTATGATTATGTGAAATGAATGGAACGGTATGTTAATGGAATTAACTATGATGACATTGTGATAAAATATACTTTTAATTCATGTATGAAATTCATGAATGGATTAAAGTGATATTTTTGATATTGGGATCAAACTATACTTGGGTTGGAAAATCAATTGAAATGAAATGTCAATTGGGAAATAGGAACTTGGCATGTTCTAAGATTATCCAACTAGTATCAAAATACTAGTCGGGGGATTAATATAAATAAATGATGAAATAAATCCTAAGAGGTAGGATTGTGAATAGATATGCCTTAAGTAGTCTCAAGAGATACTTTAAGGTTGAATTATATGAACACTAAGGTGTGTTAGGGGTAGGCCTAAAGGCTACCCAAGGGAATTGATTCTAGGCATAGGATTTGCTTGAGAATTGGATTATGAAAATAATTAGAGTTGGACTCTAGGATGACATGAAAATGTAGTTGGGCCGAGCCCTTGGCATGTAATATGATTAGCATGGAAACGTAGTTGGGCTGAGCCCTTGCCATGTATTTGTGATCTTTGTGGAAACGTAGTTGGGCCGAGCCCTTGCCACGAAGTTATGGTTGGTATGGAAACGTAGTTGGGCCGAGCCCTTACCATACAATTTTGATGAGTTATATTGAGTTAGAGGATTGTATAGAAATGTAGTTGGGCCGAGCCCTTGCTATACAATTGGGGCTCGATGGGACCCCACGGGGTTATCGTGACTTTCGGTCACGGGGGAATGGAAATGATGAATTCTAAATGAATATGGGCCCACGGGCCGACTACTTGACTTCATATAAAGTAAGTATGATTTGAATAGGCAAAAAGGGGTAACCGAGGGTTATGGCCTATAATGTAATATCACCCTGAATTGAGGGTCTTAGAAATTTAAACATTGATTATACTTAGTATAGTTGCTATTGTACTTGTCAAATGTTTCCAAGTACTGACCTCCCCTTCACGGGGGAGGCCACCTCACAGTTTCAGGTAGAACTTGAAGGTTGCTGCCACCGCCCGTTGCTTCGGGAAGATCGAAGGGAGAAGATGTGGTTCGTGCTTCTTCCGTTTCTGTTTTGAAAACAATTTAAAACAATGCTCATGGATAATATTTTCTGCATAATTACTTTGGGGGCTTGCATGCCTAATTATGCCAAGTGTGGCTTGAACACTTGTATCAATTGTTTCCGCTGCTTTAATAAATGTTTTACATTATGTTTGTTTATGGATGTACTATGTGTGAATGGTATTCAAAACGCCTTGTATAGTATGGATGAGTCGGACTGCGGTTGACTATTTGTACCGTACGGCGGGTTGTTGACGTGTCCGGGTAGGTCCGGGGCGTGACAATTTAATTGGTATCAGAGCCTTAGTCCGTAAACATCATAATGAAGCTTCAAAATTTCTTTTTGAAAATGAATTTGAAAACCATGAGCATAAGGTTTTGTACTTATAGAACTTTTGGTACTTGAGTTGCAATGTCTCTAATTGTTAAGATGGTACCCTTAACAATTGGTATGGCGGTGATTTGAGCCAAAGGATGTTTTTAAGTACCTATCCGTCAATTGACATTTGATACGAGTCTAATGACTCATTCTCAATTTCTTTCAGAAATGGAACGTACCGGGAAAGTAACTAGAAGGAACCCGACTGGCTGAGCACCGGGAGGATCCGTGCAAGGCAGTAGAGGGGCTTCTAGGGTGTCCAGAGGACAGGGCCGTGGAGGCCAAGCTCAGACCGTGAGTGACGGTCATGTTGAAACAGTCAATGAGTCTTATGAGTCCGAGGAGGATTCGGCGTATAAACCGGGAACTGAGCCGGTTGAGACCCCATACGACGGGGAATATGACAACCATGATGAGGAGAGCGATGATGAGGACGCTCTAGAGAGGATGGAGGAACTGCTCCGACAATATCAACAGGATCGCCAAAGGCGCCGGGCAAGGCGTGCTTTGGGAAGGGCTTCAAGAGGAGGAAGCCATGTGGGTTCTAGGGGACCAGTGGAGTCCCGAGGAAATGGAGGTGTCGAGGTCCCTATGATAAGGATCTCGAAGTACCTCAAAGAAGCAAGAGATTTGGGGTGTAAACCGTTCGATGGAACGGGAGATATATCCGTTGCGGCGGAGTGCATCAAGAGGTTCAATGAAGCGGCTCTTGATATGCAGCTGCCGCCAAACATGAAGATGAGAGTAGCAACAAGGTTGCTAGAGGGTATGGCGTCCACATGGTGGGACGGTGTCAAGGGGAAGTACGGTGAGGCCGTATCTTGGGAGAATTTCCAATAGGAATTCTTCCACCAATACTACTCCGACTTCGAGGTGAACTTGAAGAGGAGAGAATACACCAACTTGACCCAAGGAGGCAAGTACACCGTGAGGCAACTTGAGCACAAGTTCAGGGAGCTCGCGGAGTTCATACCGGAGTATGCTTGTGATGAGAACCGGATGGTGAATCACTTTTGGGATGCTTTAGACTTGGACGTGCGTGAGCGGGCAACACAATTGCCTAACATGACGTTTAGTCAAGTGGTGGAGCAAGGCCTGAAAGGAGAGAAGGAATGGGAGGAAAGGAGGCTGAAAAACGCCGAGGAGGCGAAGAAGAGGAAATGGGAGAACACCGGCCCTCAAGGTTCTAGCAAAAAGGGGAACCACGGGGGAGGTGGGTCTTTTAGAACACCCGCACCACCATCACGGGCGAATCTAGGCCCAGGAGGGCAAGGCTCGAGGTCGCAAGGCTCGAGCATTATGAGGTGCAATAACTGCAAAAGGAACCACGCGGGGAAGTGTCGTGATCCCCCGAGATGCTATCAATGCGGGGAGGCGGGACACTTGAAGAGCAATTGCCCACAACTAGGGCGAGCCATGGGTGCAGGACCTAGTAGCGGGACTACGACAAGTAGAAACCGGACAGGGGCACCTCATGGGAGCACAGGGCATGGCGGGCCAAGTACAAGCAACGCGCCATCCGTAAACCAAGGCAAGACCCAAGCTAGGGTCTATGCAATGACGGAGGCGGACACACGTGCTAACCCGGACTCCGTTGCGGGTAATTTCCTAAACTCATGTTATTTACTCCATTGTAAGCAATAGGAGCGTTATAAACTTGTAAATTTATAACCCCGACGGGTTTGGTCGGGTTTGAAGTGGAGAAGGGGAGGAAAATCCCTGCCCTGGGCGAATGCCGCCCGACATTGACGAAAGCCGCCCGGCTTTCGTCTTGATTTATTGGGAAAAATACTACGACAACGAATGCCGGCCGGCTTCCACCGAGAACCGCCCGACTTTCGTAAATATTAAATCAACAATTTTCCTCGCAAATGAAAACCGTCCGACTTTCACAGAAACCTGCCGGCATTTGAAATATTTAATCCGGAATAAACTGCGGCGCTCAAAGTCGCCCGGCTTCGGTGAAAGCCGCCCGGCATTCGTTGGGCCTGGGGATTTCTGCGCTGTTGAAACCCGGTCGGGTTTCGTAGAAACCGGCCGGCATTGAAACCTATTCCATGAATAAAACTACGGCGACGAAAACCGGCCGGCAAACGTGAAAGCCGCCCGGCTTTCGTGATTTATATACAGGGAATTGTTCTCGCACACGAAGCCCGGCCGGCTTTCACCTGGTTTGGTCCTAGAGCGGTTCTAAAGGTTAGAAACTGGGGAAATCTCAGAAGGGTATCGAACGGACCCCACCCGAACCACAACCAACATAATCTACGACTTAAGAAACGAGCCTATTAATTAGATAGTGTGTCTTACATTACTTATGAATGTAGGAACACTAAAGATAAACGGGAGAGACGCAAGGATCCTCATTGATACCGGGGCGCAACGATCTTTTGTGAGTGAGGCGTTCGCCAGCGGATTCAACGGACCACTGGTACCGATGACTCAAACCATATTGGTATCCACGCCTCTAGGGGATGATATCAAAAGAGATAGCCATTATCCATCGTGTGAGGTGGAGGTGGAGGGCCAAACCTTGACGTGTGATTTCGTACCGCTGAGTATGATCGAGTTCGATGCAATCCTAGGAATGGATTGGCTTGAGAAACATCATGCTAGGGTCGATTGCTACACAAAGGTTCTTGAACTTGAAAGCGGTGAAGGGCTTACCTTACGCTTTGAAGAAGATAGGGGCAAATCAAATAGTTGTATCATATCCGCCGTGAGGGCGAGGAATATGATGAGAAAGGGATGTCACGCATATCTAGCATACGTGGTGGACAAGAACAAAGAGGAGGTAGACATTAATGATGTGAGAATAGTGTGCAAGTATCCGAATGTCTTCCCAAAAGACTTGCCGAGACTTCCACCCGATAGGGAGATTGAGTTCGTGATCGAGGTTGAACCCGACACCAAACCAATCTCTATACCGCCATGCAGAATGGCACCCGCTGAACTTAATGAGTTGAAAACCCAATTGCAAGAACTATTGGATAATGGTTTCATAAGGCCAAGTCACTCCCCGTGGTGAGCACCGGTCCTTTTCGTGAAAAAGAAAGATGGAACACTTCGAATGTGCATTGACTACCGTCAACTGAACAAGGTCACAATCAAGAATAGGTATCCCTTGCCTAGGATTGATGACCTGTTTGATCAGCTCCGAGGAGCGACGGTATTTTCGAAGATTGACTTGAGGTCGTGGTACCAGCAACTGAAGATAAAGGAGGATGACATACCGAAAAGTGCATTCCGCACGAGGTATGGTCATTTCGAGTTCCTAGTTATGTCGTTCGGGCTAACCAACGCCCCGGCGGCATTTATGGACTTGATGAACCGAGTATTTCATAAATACTTGGACCGGTTTGTGATTGTGTTCATAGATGATACTTGATTTACTCAAAGAGTGAAGAAGAGCATGAGGAGCACTTGATACTTGTTCTTGAGACACTACGGGAGAAGCAACTCTATGCCAAGTTTTCCAAATGTGAATTTTGGCTAAGGGAGATTGGCTTTCTCGGGCATGTGGTTTCAGGATCAGGGATTGCCGTAGATAACAAGAAGATTGATGCCATTACTGAATGGGAAAGGCCAAAGAACGTCAAGGAAATTCGTAGCTTCCTTGGATTGGCAGGGTACTACCGAAAATTCGTGGAGAAGTTCTCAGTTTTGGCATCGCCATTGACAAAGCTCACTCGAAAGGGGGCCAAGTTTGTATGGGATGACCGATGTGAGAAGGGATTCCTTGAACTGAAGAAGAGATTTACCGAGGCATCGGTACTTGCATTACCCCGACAGGGTATGGGGTATGATGTCTATAGTGACGCGGGCATCCAAGGGCTTGGATGTGTCTTGATGCAGGATGGGAGGGTAATTGCCTATGCTTCACGACAGTTGAAGAAGCATGAGGTAAATTATCCTACTCATGACTTAGAGCTGGGGGCAGTGGTATTTGCATTGAAGATTTGGAGACATTATCTCTACGGGGAAACATGTCATATATACAATGACCACAAAAGCCTGAAATACGTGTTTACTCAGAAAGAGTTAAACATGAGACAGAGACAGTGGATGGAGTTGATAAAAGACTACCATCTAGTTATCGAGTACCACCCCGGTAAAGCCAACGTGGTAGCGGATGCCCTGAGCCGAAAGAATTCGTCTGGGGCATTGTTGACTAGTTTGAGGGCATTGAGAGCCCGATTGGAGGTATCTAGTGATGGTGCTTTGTTAGCTAGATTTGAGGTGAGACCTACATTACTTGATGAAATCAAGAAGGGTCAAGAAACTGATGAAGAGCTTATGAAGGTCCGTGAACGCATGCTAGCGGGGCCGGTTGAGGATTTCAGGGAGAGAGACGATGGTCTCTTATTATTCCGTGACCGAGTGTGCGTACCGTCGGATGATGGGCTCCGAAAGTCCATCTTAGAGGAGGCTCATTCATCGGCGTATGCCCTGCATCCGGGAGGCACAAAAATGTACCGTGATTTGAAAGAAAGTTACTGGTGGTCGGGTATGAAGAGAGAAATAGCCGAGTACAGCAGTAGGTGTCTTACTTGTCAGCAAGTTAAGGCAGAACATCAGCATCCAGTTGGGTTATTACAGCCACTTTCCATTCCTGAATGGAAGTGGGAACACGTGACTATGGATTTCGTGGTAGGGCTGCCACGGACGATTAAGAACTATGACGCCGTATGGGTTGTGGTCAATAGGCTCACGAAAAGTGCACACTTTCTACCTATTAACACCACTTATGCACTGGAGAGGTTAGCCAAGTTGTATGTGGACGAGATCGTGAGGCTACATGGGGTTCCGATAACCATTGTATCCGATAGAGATCCGCGATTCACATCACGATTTTGGCCGAAGTTCCAAGAATCTATGGGGACAAAGTTGAAATTCAGTACAACTTTTCATCCACAAACGGATGGGCAATCTGAGCGGGTTATTCAGATATTAGAGGATATGCTGAGAGCTTGTGAATTGGAGTTCCAAGGGAGTTGGGACAACCATTTGGCACTTGTGGAGTTTGCCTATAACAACAGTTATCAGGCGAGTATAGGCATGCCTCCATACGAGGCATTGTATGGGAGGAGATGTCGTACACCTTTGTGTTGGGATGAGGTTGGCATGGCCAAACTCGAGAGCACGGAACTAGTGGAGATCACCAAGTCAAAGGTGAAGATGATTCGTGAGAGACTTAAGGCGGCACAGGATAGACAGAAGAGCTATGCCGATAAGCGCCGAAGAGCCTTAGAGTTTAAGGTTGGAGATGAGGTATTTTTGAAAGTTTCACCTTGGAAAGGAATCATCCGATTTCAGAGCCAAGGGAAACTTAACCCACGCTACATAGGGCCATTTGTAATTCTTGAGAGAATTGGGGCCGTAGCATACCGATTACAGTTGACTCCGGAATTGGAGAAGATACATAATGTATTCCATGTGTCTATGCTTAAGAGGTATATTCCGGATCCATCTCATGTACTAGAAAAACCACCCGTGGAAATATGGGAAGATTTGAGCTACGCCGTACAACCAGTGATGATACTTGATAGGCAAGTAAAGAAGCTAAGAAGCAAGAAAGTTCCAATGGTCAAAATCCTTTGGAAGAGTGACCGAGTGGAAGAAGAAACTTGGGAGACTGAAGCCTCGATGAAGGATCAATATGCATTTCTGTTTGAATAATCGTTGTGAATTTCGGGGACGAAATTCCCGTTAAGGGGGGTGAACTTGTGACACCGTCCCCAAGCATGTTTACTTTTAGTAAATGATGTAGTAAACCTTGAAAGATGATTTATGAATTTACGTAATTGTTAAATTTTATTATTTCTTTTACGTGAATAGTAAATTGCATGTGGGGCCCACAACGGGAGCAGGGCCGCCCGATAATTTTTAAACCACATATTATATTCATCTTGGTCTAGATGACATTTATATGGTTGTGGATATTTTATTTGGGCCATAGGAAAGGCGCGGAGTTGACCGGTGGTCAAACGAGGCCCAATTACTGGTATTGGTAATTTAGCGGATAACAGCCCGAAATGAGTGTCGGAGACTCCTAAATTAATGTTGGGGAATGTACATCTATTCTAAAGGCCCATAATTATTAGGAACGAGTGACATATTTTATTTGGCCCGATAAAATAAAATATAATTAAAACGGACCGAGAAATACAACTTTCGGGGCCGATTGTACACACCGGGACATAACGGGATGACCTCCCACCTAAGTGGGGGCCACCCCACGTTTTTGTGTGCTCCATTTGACTGAATGGGAGCTGGAAGAGACAAGGAAAATGGGCTGGGGTCGAACTATAGGAAGAGGGGATGGATTGAGACCAAACCCCATGTCCTACACATTGACTTCTCATTTGATTGAGGAGAGTTGTCCCCTATCATTTCTCATCCTCAATCATACGACCAAGGCAAGGAGAGGAGCTCAGGAGAAGACCCTCACAAAGCTCATAGCTTGAAGGAAGCAAGGAGTAAAGGAAATCCAACTCAAAGAGGCTATAAATTAAGGTAAGAACTCAAATAGTTCTTTTAACTAGTTTTTGTAGTATGATTTTTAAGAAATCATATGGTGGATTAAACATGAAGTTCTACGCGTTTAAAAGTGTAGAATATTGATATAAAGTGGTGATATTTATCTTAGAGGAGTTGGTGATCGATAGGAGTCGAAATCGCCGGAAACCGCCACTTTAAGGGAGTTGCTCGTATCTGCAGAACACGAAAGCTGCCCGGCTTTTGTGAAAGCCGCCCGACTTTGGCCCAGCAGTCCAGATTTTCACTTTCAATCGGCCTAGAACGGGGATTGATCGAGGGGCTTAACAAGGGCAACTATTGTAGCACATCACGAGGTGAGGATGACTGACTATATTGCTTATAATTAGTGAGTTAATTTCATAAGATTACCTAAGGTAATTAAATGGGATTTTCATGGGTTATTAATGATTAATAATGCCCAAATGAAAATAATATTGATATGAGTAAGTGAAGCATGATATACAAATTTAGAATAATTGTGTATGATTATGTGAAATGAATGGAACGGTATGTTAATGGAATTAACTATGATGACATTGTGATAAAATATACTTTTAATTCATGTATGAAATTCATGAATGGATTAAAGTGATATTTTTGATATTGGGATCAAACTATACTTGGGTTGGAAAATCAATTGAAATGAAATGTCAATTGGGAAATAGGAACTTGGCATGTTCTAAGATTATCCAACTAGTATCAAAATACTAGTCGGGAGATTAATATAAATAAATGATGAAATAAATCCTAAGAGGTAGGATTGTGAATAGATATGTCTTAAGTAGTCTCAAGAGATACTTTAAGGTTGAATTGTATGAACACTAAGGTGTGTTAGGGGTAGGCCTAAAGGCTACCCAAGGGAATTGATTCTAGGCATAGGATTTGCTTGAGAATTGGATTATGAAAATAATTAGAGTTGGACTCTAGGATGACATGGAAATGTAGTTGGGCCGAGCCCTTGCCATGTAATATGATTAGCATGGAAACGTAGTTGGGCCGAGCCCTTGCCATGTATTTGTGATCTTCGCATCTTCGTGGAAACGTAGTTGGGTCGAGCCCTTGCCACGAAGTTATGGTTGGTATGGAAACGTAGTTGGGCCGAGCCCTTGCCATACAATTTTGATGAGTTATATTGAGTTAGAGGATTGTATAGAAATGTAGTTGGGCCGAGCCCTTGCTATACAATTGGGGCTCGATGGGACCCCACGGGGGAATGGAAATGATGAATTCTAAATGAATATGGGCCCACGGGCCGACTACTTGACTTCATATAAAGTAAGTATGATTTGAATAGGCAAAAAGGGGTAACCGAGGGTTATGGCCTATAATGTAATATCACCCTGAATTGAGGGTCTTAGAAATTTAAACATTGATTATACTTAGTATAGTTGCTATTGTACTTGTCAAATGTTTCCAAGTACTGACCTCCCCTTCACGGGGGAGGCCACCTCACAGTTTCAGGTAGAACTTGAAGGTTGCTGCCACCGCCCGTTGCTTCGGGAAGATCGAAGGGAGAAGACGTGGTTCGTGCTTCTTCCGTTTCTGTTTTGAAAACAATTTAAAACAATGCTCATGGATAATATTTTCTGCATAATTACTTTGGGGGCTTGCATGCCTAATTATGCCAAGTGTGGCTTGAACACTTGTATCAATTGTTTCCGCTGCTTTAATAAATGTTTTACATTATGTTTGTTTATGGATGTACTATGTGTGAATGGTATTCAAAACGCCTTGTATAGTATGGATGAGTCGGACTGCGGTTGACTATTCGTACCGTACGGCGGGTTGTTGACGTGTCCGGGTAGGTCCGGGGCATGACACAGCGAGCCTGCCCCGCATACCTGCAACCTCTGCAAGAAAATAAATAGAATAAAATGGACTAGTACCGGTTGAACTATTTCTCTGCTCCCGAATCAAAGAGGAGGATTCACACCTTTCTTCTTCTTGCCAACTTGTTCCCCGTGAAGTGGGGGAACCCCGCTCTTCACCCCGGCGTCTACCTCGGGCATGGTGGCGTCGGGCATGACCCTACTTGCACCGGGTATCACGGATTGGGGCGCGACACCCTGCTCGCTCTTCACTCCGGTGTCTACCTCGGGCATGGTGGCGTTAGACACGCCCCTACTTGCACCAGGTACCACAAAAAAAAGGGAAAAAATAAATAATAAAAATAAACAAGAGGTTGGTGAAGTTATTTCAGCCGGGTCTTCTCCTCTCGAATTAAAAGGGAATTCACACCTTTTCCGTCCATGGCAACCTGCTCTTCACGGAACGGGGAGGCCCCGCGTTTCTCCCCGGGATTGAGCGAACATAAATCTGCACCAGGTGCAGAAGGCGGAAGCATGGTCCCCGATGACACATTGGGGGCGGCAGCTTCGTCTCTGTTGCCTGCCACATATGAAAATATCAGCAAATTAAAGGATGATTTTATATGGTATCCGTGACCTGCTGGGACAGAAGATTTACCTATATACGAGTTAATCGGGGAAGGCCCCCCTTGGAGCAAGGTCTCGACCTTCTCCTCAAGGTCGGGGGTGAGAGAGGCAGATTTGTACTCGCGCATTGAAATACCCCAGGTGGACGTGATGGGGAGCGGATACCCATACCCATTTATTCGACCACTTCCTAGGTGGCTCTGGATACTGATCAAAGAGCTTACGGTGCGGTAATTGGCAAAGTGACACGAACCCACCGTCATATGTCTTATTGTTAGGGCGGTTCCATCTAAAGCATGCACGGAACAACGGTATGGATGGTCGGATACCAACCCCACTACAACGAGCGACAAAAGCAGCCGTAAACATATGTGCAGTTGGGGTCATCTGGCACTGCGATACCCCAATATGGGCAAGGAGTGCCACCAAGAATGGACACAAAGGCACCCGCATGCCCCGCGTGATAGACGCAATGTGAACCCCGAAGAACGCATTTGGAGGGGGGCTGGTGAGTGGTGAGGCTACTCTCGGGATCTGGCAACATGAGGGTGCAATCGCTACCGACCAAACTTTTCGCCAACTTCAAATCTGCCTCTGTACTGGTGGAACGCAAATGTTCCCTCCAAGCGTTAGGGTCTTCGACGCTATCCGATTCACCATTTGATTTGGATGAGGTATCCGACTGGGAGGCAACGTCCACTACAGGGGTGACGTTGTTGGAGGATGGCACAGGCTGGTCATGTGCCCCCCCTCCCCCCGAGCAGGCCGGAGATGTCCTTTAACGATCGCGATCCGCGTAGCGGGTCTGTCCAACCATGATGAGGTGGTGACCTTTTCATGTGTCGAAAGATTTTCGGAGGCTCCTTGATTTTTCCCTGATGCCGCGAATTCGGGTTGAGACGTTGCATTCACCTCGCTGGCTTGAGTTTGTTGAACCGGTTCTCCACGCACGGACTCTTTCCCCACCTCGCCACGACGGGCTCGTGCAACCAAGTTCCCAGACCGTGGCAGTGCGTCCACCTCGCCAAGGGGGGCTCGCGCAGACGATACTTGACCCGCCGGAGGTTGCTGGGACTGTTTGGCAGACGGACGACGTTCGCGGGTGTAGAGGGTACCATGATGAGCTTCGTGTCGCGGACTGCGTTGAGAACCTGTGCATAGGCTGGGAACAAGAGACGATGATGACTGTGAATTGATGGGTTTTTTCCGACCGCCTGGGCTACGAGAACGCGACGACGAACAACGTCGTGAATGACCCTCCCTCTGGCGCGACGGAGAAGGAGAGCCGATGCGTTTCCTTCGCCGGATGAGGATGGAATGATGCGGCGACACCGTGGCTGCGGCTGGAGCGGCTGAAGCTGAAGGGACCTGCATGGCTGAAGCACGCGTGGATGATCAATGGTGTTAGGGCTAGGCCACGCTCGGATTCAAGGAAATTAAAAGAATATGGAAAGAAAAACAAGGAGTGAAATTATTAATTGGAATAGCTCCGAGTTATTTTAGGAAGCTGGCCTGGGGTTTCTTTGACAAAATGCGAAGGCTTGGACGTGATTCCAACCCTGGACGTGCGAGCTGATCAGGCAAAAGCCCAAGTATATTCGTCGCACGGTCAATATACGGCAACAATGAGACCCCCGTCCTTTCGCAAGCAGTAGGGAGCAAAGCAAAGGGGCCAATCAAGGCCCGCGTAAAATGCCCCCCTTACGGGCCAATGATTACATTGACGAGCACCCCGGGCTGCTACAACGGAGGTGCGACTAGCCAGCCAATCCGATAGTCGGACCGACCTTTGAGCAGCTCGACTACTCCCTTTTAGTCGAGTCTGCTACTCGACTAAGGGAGTGGGGGACTCGTGTTGGGATAATGGGCTGGGTCCAATACTATCGACCTAATATGCCTGGGCTCGGGCGCGAACAAGGCCCGACACACGATCCCGCTAGAGAATATGGTCCTTGGATTGATTTGTTTAACTCTTGGGCCGACCGACCCATTGGCCTTGGATCAAGCTTCTTGTTTTAGTTGTTTAATTGGGCCAAGCCCATTAGCGTTAGAAAAACCTCTTGTAAGCGCCTATAAATAGGCCGCCCCTCCTTTTGTATGAGACACGCCACTTTTACTATACTGAATTGCTGCCGAATTTTCTACTCAACATATTTTCTACCAACAATTATCATTATTATGATCTTCATTATTATCATTATTGTCATTATTATCATTATTATGATCACCATTATTATCATTATTATCATCATTATCATTATTATGATCATCATTATTATCATTATTATCATTATTATCATCATTATTATCATTATTATTAGTATCATTATTATTATCATTATTATTATCATTACTATTATCATTACTATTATTATTATTAATATTATTATTATTATTATTATCATTATTATCATTATTATTATTATTATCTCTATGATCATTATTATCATTATTATGATTGTCATTATTATCATTATTATCATCATTATTATCATTATTATGATCATCATTATTATCATTATTAGCATTATTATCATCATTATCATCATTATCATCATTATTATCATCATTATTATCATCATCATCATCATCATCATCATCATCATCATCATCATCATCACTATCATCATCATTATTATCATCATCATTATCATCATCATTATTATCATCATCATCATCATCATCATCATCATTATTATTATTGTTATTATTGTTATTATTGTTATTATTGTTATTATTATTATTATTATTTGATGGATAGTGTACCCGGGGGTAGCTTATCCGAGGGGTTATTGCGGAGAATAACTAGAGAGAAGTCACAGTAAGTAAGTAAGAGAGAGAGTGTATATCAGACATGTATTCATCGTATTTTGCTTGTGGTTACTAATGGGGAAATGGGGTGTTATTTATAGTAGTAATAGATGCCAGACAGGGACACGTGTCAAGCATCCATTGGCTGAGGGGTCACCTCAACTGGTTGGCACTGGCAATCGCATGTGGCCGCATTTAATGCGGTTGTTGGATGTGACGTCGTACTTGGTACGGTGATTCCGGCGCATGTGGAGTGGATATTATGTCGAGAAAGGTGCCCTCGACTGCAGGTGATTAACTGAGGGCTCTGAGTACCGGGGACCCCCTTAGTGCCGAGGGCTATAGGTGTCGAAGGCTACTGATTTTCGCCGTTTTCTCCCACTAACTTTGTGTGCTTGAGCTGGCCGTCTTGTGAGAATTTGGAGCCTTCGGCTAGGGGGCCGAAGGCACTCCCAATGTGCTGCGTGGGTTGCTCAGTACTTGGGGCGCTGTGTTTTGGGCCTGCTGTGCCCCCTGGGCCCCCTGGGCCTATTGGGCCTTTATCAGAATAGTAGGAGTCTATGGGCCGGGGGTTCCTGGGCCATATACTCCATCATTATTGTTATTATTGTTATTATTATTGTTATTATTATTATTGTTACTATTATTGTTACTATTATTGTTACTATTATTGTTATTATTATTGTTATTATTATTGTTATTCTATTATTATTTTTATTATTATAATTATAATTATTATTGATATTATTATTAGAATTATTTTTATTAGTATTAATATTATTATATACCGGTTTAGAAAGTTAAGATCAGATCAGAAGGTTTCAGATTGGATCAGATCAGATCAGAAAAATTCAGATCAGATTAAAAAAATTCAGATCAGATCAGAAAGATTCAGATCAGATCAGATCAAAAAGATTCAAATCAGATCAGATAAAAAAGATTCAGATCAGGTCAGATTAGAAAAATTCAGATCAGATCAGATCTTAAAAAATTCAGATAAGAAACATTTAGATGAGACGAAGAGAACAACTTCTTATCCCTAAAATATGTGGTTCAGGATTCATCTAATCCAATTGGATGACATCTTATCTCCCCAGTCCCATCTCTTCAAACTTCATATTCTTACCACAAAATAATCTAGGAATTTTATCAATTTAGGATCCGAAAGATAGATGAATTATCAATTCAGGATCTAAAAGATGAGATTTATCGGTATAGGATCCGGATGATGAAAACTATCAATCTAGAACCTAAAATTTCATAGGTTTTGATTTATTTAATTTTTTATTAATTCCCGGGCTAATTTTTGATAAACTTTTCTTCACAAGTTTATTAGTTTCATAAAACTAAATAATATTTAAAAAATTTAAGATAAAAAATTAATAAAATTTCGGACAACTTAGGTTCTAAATTGATAATTTCCAAACATTCAAATTCTGAATTGATAGTTTTCCAAGTCTTATATAGATACATTTCATCTTTGAGATCTCGGATTATTTATTTTATAGGCGTTAAATTGATAAAATTCCGATAATAATAATCTTTCTCACCCTATACCGTAAGAGAAAGAATGACCTGATCATGGAAAGTTAGAAAAGGTACAAAAGACGATTGATTCTTGACGAATCTGTCACAGTTCGAAATAGAAGAAACGGAGAAAAGAATGTCAAAATAAAGAACTTTGATTTCTCGCATCGAAGATTGTTTTGAATTATCAAATTTTAAGGCCGGCAACAATGGACTACTAATGTCGTAGAAGACTATCTTCCAATCTCGGTTCAATTCAAGGTACAACAGAAATAGATTATTCAGTAATTTCTTGTATTTCTTTAATTAAATGTTTAGATCCATATAATTGTTTACTGATCATATAACATAAACTTCGATATTTGTGCATGAGTGTAGAATCTGACCTTGGATTACATATTGAGTTTGGACGGAGTTGCGTTTGATCCAAACGTATACCCCTTGGGTCTTTCTTTTATTCGGATTGTGGAGTCCCTGCTTGAGTGCTTGAACGGTTGTAGGTCGTGCGGCTGGGAGGAGATGATAGTAGATAAGTCAGACCTTCGATTTTGTGTTGGAGTTTGTACTTAGTTTGAAAGCGATTAATTGAAACAGTGGGAGTGATAATTGATTTTTTCCATGTTTAGCCCATTAAAAACAAAAAAGTAATACTCCAAATTTGAATTAATCGATTAACATTCAGATAAGAGCTATTACCATATAAACTTACAATTGATATTATTTTTACCTTATATGAAGATTGAAAAAGTTAGTTTAATTTACCATATTTTGTTAAGACATTTTTTGTTAAGCACAAAATAGCACATCTCCAGTTCTCCACTATGGTACAAAATAAATATGGATATATACTTCATATCTCCACTCAGGGATAGAATATTGAGGCCAAACGTTTTAACAAATTTATTTCTTTATATCTTAGAAGTATATCTAAAGCTGATTTTTTTGTGTGGTCCAGCCAAAGACATGAAAAATTATGATGTGAGCAATATTACTCTATAAGTACTTTGAAACGTAGAGCAAGACAGATAGTATAAGACCACATAAACTTAAAAAATGGGACGAATAAGACAATGAATCAATAACCAAGAAAAGGTGAACATTATTATAGAAGAATTATAAGTGGATTGAATCGGAAAAGAGATCTGGTAATGTAAAGTTATAAGCTTTAAAGTATAAAATTAAAAGTAGTACGTACATTGTTTATTATTTTTCAATTACTTTTCATTTGTTTTTTTTGAGATTTTGATTAAGCATTATCAGTATTTCTTGTTCCTGGGCTCATCAATAAAAAATCAGTCTCCATCTAGTCTTTATATGTTTTAATGTATAGATTTTGTCATTGGCATTGTAATTTTGGCGTGTTTGTTATTAAATTTGGTTCAATTATTCACTGTAATTTTTAATTTTCAAACAATCTACTGTTTTTTTAAAAGAAAGTTGCAGTGATTTTGAAAGTGAGGCATTATTAGTCTCGGATTTTTTGCAATAGGTGTTCGTATATTTTGTTGTCATACCAAGAAATGGGACGAATAAGACAATGAATCAATAACCAAGAAAAGGTGAACATTATAGAAGAATTATAAGTGGATTGAATTGGAAAAGAGATCTGGTAATGTAAAGTTATAAGCTTTAACGTATAAAATTAAAAGTAGTACGTACACTGTTTATTATTTTTCAATTACTTTTCATTCTCAGTATTAAGTAAAATTTTAAACAAATCATTCACCTAAGGAAGTTGCTATTTCAGAAAATAAACAATAAAACTCTATTGTTTAATGTAATAAAAGCTTTCTGATTTTGAAAATGAGGCGGTATCACACGTGGCAGGTTTGCGAACATGCCTATATAGTTTGGCGTTATATTTTAAAGTCATTTCGTATAGTGTGCAATATAATCGAGATATTTAATCATACAGCAAGAATGACCCCAACAAAAAAGTTGAAAATATAAAATTAATATGACAATCATTCAAAAAAAGTTAAATTAATCAAATTGTGGAGCCAACACTATATGTCACGTGTCATGGCATTGGTTCTTTCTTGACGGAAACAATCTTACGCATCTTCGTGGTCGAAGCTTGAGTTTGATTGTCATCTAGGGCATTCAATGACCTCTTCTCACTTCTCTTGCTGGTGGGAGTAATCTCTTCAGCATCCAAGCAGCCAGCCTAGTAATTTCAAAAATTTCATTTGAGAAAAAGAAAATGAATTCAAAGATATACATTTCATGTGTCAAGTACTTCTGTTTACCAATATAGGGTAATGATCATTGATTAGGTGCGACCCCAAGCTAGAATCAACTTCCTCAACATTCTGCGTAAGAATTGGAATTTACAATGCGTACTACATTAGGTCATTGTTGCTCCAACCAATAATTTAACTTAGTTCAATGTAAATTCAAAACTGAATGTATTATCTAGTAGCTGAAATAATGCGTAAAATTAGTTATTGTACATTTACCTGATCATGAGATTGTACTGGACACTCAGAAAACTCATCCTCTTCATGGTTTGGATCCTGTACGGTTGTTAGATATATTAAACAATTTAATCTAGTTTAAAACGTTAGTGTAACAGTTTAAATGTAATCACATATACCTGGTTCGGATTGATTTCCATGAATTGTTTTTTACTCTCATCATCACAGTACATTTTTTTTGCCATATCACGCAAGGAAAGACATATCACGCAAGTATATCAGCATCATCATGGATATATATGAGGATTGTACTACAAGTGTCCGTACTAGTGTAGGGAGGACTGAAGAGTTCCCTATTACTATTGGAGTGCACCAAGGATCGGCCTTGAGCCCTTTCTTATTTGCCATAGTTATGGATGAACTTACGAAGTCAATTCAAGACGATATACCATGGTGCATGATGTTTGCCGACGATATTGTTAATTAGATTTGACCGATTTTTGTAAAAAAATCAAATTTGACCGATAAGCCCAACTTAGATCTTTTATCAAGGTGAACATTGAACATAGAGGAGACACATTTACTGATCATAGCAGTGATAGCACAGAAGCAATCATAATGGTGTGCTGTTTTGCACCACTACCATTGTTACATGGCATTTTGCTCAATCATCTCCCTTTATGCTTCAATACACTATGTTTCTACTTTCTAGTGACTAGAAACCATAACCAGTCACTTGTAAAATTGTGTGAATGTATGTGTTGGCTGATGATTATTTATTCCCCATTTTCTCTCACAAAAGATTGACAAAGGTGGGATGGGCTCTGCTGGTATGAAGTCCTTCAGAGCATTAGCGCTCTTTGGTGCTGGAGTTTCTGGGCTTATTGGATTTGCAACAATTTCTTACTCAGATGAAGCAGAGCATGGCTTAGAGTCTCCAAGCTATCCATGGCCTCACAAAGGCATTCTCAGCTCATATGACCACTCTTCGTAAGTAGATTCAGTGCATGTGCAAAGGTGTTTAAATGATTTAGAAAAGTGGTATAAAGAATGTGAGGTAAAGTTCTGATCATAGGCTTTTTCATTGGGGTCCTTCCAACAGCCCCCTACCCCCGCCAAAGAAAGAACAACAACAAAAACAATAATAGTAATAGTAATACTCCCTCCTTACCAAATTAATTGTCATTTCAGCCAAACATTTTTGTCACAAAATATTTGACGTTTTAGGAATTCAATGCATTCCCCCCCTAATGTTCCAAATTGCCAATATCATCCCTTTCTACTCTACATACAATTTTATCTTAAATTTAGGGTAAAGAGTCATTTTGTATGATACCTCTGTATGTGCACTTTTATAAAAATTCAAAGGGTGGCAAGTTTGAGATGTTCATTTTGCTGCAATTTCACATTACTCTCCAATGGGGTTAGGCTTCATATTGCTTGTTTTGTTTAGCCCATGTTTGTTAAGACTTAAGAGTAACCACCCTCGTATTTGTTGTCATTAACTTGATTTGTGGTAACAGAATTCGTCGAGGTCACAAGGTTTACACGGAAGTGTGTGCATCTTGCCATTCAATGTCACTGGTTTCATATCGCGATCTTGTTGGTGTGGCATACACTGAGGAAGAAACAAAGGCAATGGCTGCTGAGATTGAAGTGGTCGATGGCCCTAATGATGAAGGCGAGATGTTCACACGTCCTGGAAAGCTCAGTGATCGGTTTCCACAGCCTTATGCAAACGAAGCTGCTGCAAGGTTTGCTAATGGAGGGGCTTATCCACCTGATCTAAGTCTCATTACGAAGGCATGAATGCTTTTAACCTTTTAGCTCTTTTTTGAATAATTAATTTGATGATAAAGGGATTCTCATCTTTTAATTGAAACAATTTTTTCAATACAGGCCCGTCACAATGGTCAAAATTATGTTTTTGCACTTCTTACCGGCTATCGTGATCCACCTGCTGGTGTCTCGGTAATTTTCTTTTTGATCCTCTATGCTTTACTGCATGAATTTATTGTGTGAAGTAGTTTTATTCAATTGATTGACACTAGATTTATTGCTCAGCTAGTCATGATTAAGCTTAGTTTCAAAGAGGGCGCCCCTAGGGTCAAACATGGTAGTCAAACTCGAGATCCAACGTTGAACCAGGCCATGGATATAAATCTTAGATTTTTCCTCGGCAATTACCCAGCATATACTACACACAAACCAGAAAAGACTCCTCATCTTCTTTATTGGCAATCTCCTCCCCCCCCCTCCTCCTCCTCACTCCCTCCTCCCCCTCCTCCTCCTCGGGTAACACAAATAGAGTACCATTTTTGGACTTGTTTATGTAGTTTCATTATTGTTTCTATATTTTCATTGCTTAGTTTGTTATCCTTTTGTCTTTCTTATCTTCTTATTTTTATAGCTCTGATTTCATGTGTCAAATAATGTTGGCCAACCTCAAACTCTTTTAGGACTAAGGCTTGGATGCTATTGTTGTTGTATAAACTTCAAGTTTGAACTTGTTTATTTTTTCCCTATTGTGATTGTTTGACCATTTCATAATGAGATCTTGATATTCAATTTGGCTGCTTATCAAATTATGCTATTTCTATTATGTGTTTCTGTTTGATGATAAGATAAATATATATTCAAGGTAGTCAAAGTCGTGAGGCCCAATCAAGGTGCTAGAGTACTCAAATCGCTTGAGGCGCAAGGCACAAAAAAAGCGCTTGCCTGACTCATGTCAGGCGCACCATCTATACTATAAAATATATACCATAGTTATAATTCTAAAGTATAAAACAAGTTATAAAAAGGAACTAACAAAACTAAAAGAAGAAAATTGTTAGTTGTTAGAAGTATAAAACAAAAGAAGCAAATGACAGATAAAAGAAAGAAAAAAAGATAAAGACATAGACTTTAAATGATGAGATAAAAATAAAGAAAGAAGATGTAGATTTTACATTCAAAAGGAAAAAATAAAAAATAAGAAAAGAAGAAATTAAAAAGACCAGAAGGAAGATGGAAAAAATAGGAGGAGAAGGAGGTTACCTTGTGCATGTTGTGTAGGTTGTGGGTCAAACACAGCAAATAAGAATGCATCGGTGAAAACTCTCTATGTTTCGTAGACTCCGTAATGCATCGGTGAAGGGTTTTAACAATGTTTAATTTGTTTTTTCCCTATTAGTTAGATGGGTTATAACTTATTATTAATATGGGTTTATTTAAAATAGGTCCAAATCTTATTTAAAAAAGTTCAGAACCCTCTACCAGTCCAGGTGAGTCAGGCGTGCGCTTCTAGCGCCTCTGCGCTTCTTGCGCTTCAGTCAGACAGCCTCGTCTGGAAGAGTATAAGACGCTGCACCTGTATAGCGCCTAGCCTGGTGCGCTTAAGAGATAAGACCTGCGCTTTTGACTACCTCGTATATATCATGTTCAAGTATAATATATCATGCAGTAGTATAAATGCTCCTCAGGAAAGATGAGTGTCTATGTTCCGCGAGGCTTGCGCCTCCGCTTTGCGCCTCCGCTTTGCGCCTCCGCTTTGCGCCTCCGCTTTGCGCCTCCGCTTTGCGCCTCCGCTTTGCGCCTCGCGCCTCGACTAAATACACCTAAAACAGTTGACAGCTTTGTGCCTTGTAAAACTAAGCAATTAAGATGCTCGTGATGCTGCTGTTTTTTGTTGTATTTTGAACAAGGAAGTAATATAAAAGGAAATGAGTTGTGATCCATTGACACAGCATTAATTCATATTAGTCTGTCCCAAACGAGAGTTTTGTTTCAAACACCTATTTTGTCCAGAAAAAGACCGACTTACTAAAAAAGAAATGGTTTTTTCATGCAACTTGTAATAAATTTGCAAAAATAAATTTAAAATATGAACTATTATTCATGCAGTTGTACTGTTGTGCATTGCCAAAATACGTGTATCTGTATAGATGCATCTGATGTGTGGGTGGTATCTATAAATATGAATAAATTAATAAATAAATAAGTAAATAAATGCATCATACATATGAACACATGTGTGTGTGTTTGTGTCTAATGAAAGTACATAAATAAAAATAAATAGTATATAGAATTTGAAAGAATGACTAAAATAATACTAGTAGGCTTTCAATTGACCAAAATAAGACTGATTTCCAGTTGGACAAATAAGGAGGTAAGAGTCATATTGGTCCTCGAAGTTGCATAAAAAGGGTCAAATAAGTCCTTATATAGGAGGTTCCGTCTGGCCGTCGTCATTCGGGGTGGTTCCCTGTGGAATTTTTTGAGCATCTTATTTATTCAGTCTAGTTTACTCATACCAAATTTCAGCTAAAACTTCAATCGGGAAGGCGTTCAAATGAAGTCTTGAAGATAACTGCGCAGTTAAAAGCGCAATTACCTTCAAGAATTCATTTGAATGCCTTCCCGATTGAAGTTTTAGCGGAAATTTGGTATGAGTAAACTACACTTAATGAATAAGATGCTCAAAAACTTTCATCAAAAAATTCCACAAGGAACCACCCTGAATGGCGACGGCGGGACAGTAAGGACTTATTTGACCCCTTTTATGCAATTTCGAGGACCAATCTAACCCTTACCTCGACAAATAAGTGACTTAAAATAGAACAGATGGTCGAAAATACCCTCTTATGTAAAGTTAATTTACACCTACCCTATTGTGCTGGTCGAAAATAGCCCAACCTGCCTTCTCTCTCTTCAATTCTCGAAGATGCGCTCCGAGAAGAGAAAACCATCCCAATCTATGACCTTCTTCTCCCTGGAGTCTGCGGCCTTCTCTCCTTCATCTGCAGTCGTCGCTGCCTCTCCATCTTCGCTGCCGCTGCCCTCTGTCTTCGTCGCCCGCCTAAGATAGTCTTTTCCGTCCATCTGCCATCCCAGCTACCATTCTTTTTCTTCCCTTTCTGTTTGAGAGCGAATGGGGCAAATCCGAGCGGGTGGGCGGCAGCGGTGCTGGGCAGATGAGGATAATTCCGGCTAGGCTACAACGGCGGGTCAATTGCAGAAAGCTACTTTCCAGATCTGCTAGGCCGGCTAGGGTTTTTGGCTAAGGCTGCTAGGGTCTCGTGGTGGTGGGCTGGGGCTGGGGAGGAGCAGATCGGGGTTGGGTGGGGCTGGTTGGAGCGGATCGGGGCTGGGTGGGGCTGGTCGGAGCTGGAGCGGGGGGGGGGAGAAGGCAGGTTGCAGCCTTGCAGAGCAGGGGGTGAGGCAGGGGATTAGGGTGTGGGGCAGGAAGAAGGGGTAAGTGTATGGGGCGGCGGTGGCGGCGAGGTCGTGTTGCATGCGGGGCGGTAGCCAGTGGAGCTGGCAGCAGCCGCGGTGAGTGGTGCGACGAGGCCGTGAGTGGTGGTGTCACTGTTAAACTTGTTTGAAAATCAGGTCACTGCAACTGTAACTGAGGTACGTTAGTCACTGCCAATAGAGCAACTGTCACTGGCGGAGGCGGCGGGGTAATTGGCGGCCACAGCGGTTAGTGTGGCCGAAGTCCATGGTAGGTCGCTGTGGCTGGAGTAAGTGTCACTGTCACTGGACATATGTGCCATTGTCACTGGGCATATGTGTCACTGTCAGTCTGTCACTGGTCACTGTGACAACTAGCTTTTCACCCGTGCATCGCACGGAGTGAGAATTTTTATAAAATGAAAAGGCAAAAATGTTAATCTCTTCGCCCCATAATTAATTCATTTTAATTTGTCAAGGCGATTAAATGGTAGAAATTTTGTTGTTTTTAGTTGTATAGATGAGACAAAAAAGTTATGAATCACATATTCTTTTCCATAAAAGAAAGATAAAATATAGGCTAAAGGGTCAAATAAGTACATGAACTAACTTAAAATGTTCAATTAGCTCTTTATATATGAGGTTCCGTCCGACCGTCGCCAATTGGGGTGGTTCTCGGTAAACTTTTTTGATGAAATTTTTTGAGCATCTTCTTCATTAAGTCTAGTTTACCCATATAAAATTTCAGCTAAAAATTAAACCGGGAAAGCAGTCAAATGATTTTTCGAAATGTATTACGCTGTTTAACTACGCAGTTATCTTCAAAAAATCATTTGACTGCCTTCCCGGTTGAATTTTTAGATGAAATTTGGTATGAGTAAACTAAACTTAATGAAGAAGATGCTCAAAAAATTTCATCAAAAAATTCCACGAGAACTTCCCAAATTGGCGACGGCCGAGCAGAACCTCCTATATAAGGGGCTAATTGAACACTTTAAGTTAGTTCATGTACCTATTTGACCTTTTAACCTAAAATATACTCCCTCCGTCCCTAAATGTTTGTCACCATTTGACTTTGGGCTATTTAAGAGAAGGGAAAAAATGAGTTTGACTTTCCCAAAATACCCTCACAAAGGTGAGGGTAACTAACCAAAAAAACAGGCGGTAAAAATGGGGAGGGGAATGGGCCGAAATCAATAAAGCAATGCAAAATTGGAAAACAAGTGGCCATTAAAAATTCAAAGTACAAGGAAAAGAGATGACAAGATGGTTCTACAGTACATCTTAATTGTCTACCAAGACAATTTGGCACCAAAAAATTCGAATCTCCCTCCTAATTTTAACTTCAAACACTTTTACATTTGTCAAATGGGTTATAAATAGACCTCATTCATTACAACAAGTAAGCATTCAATACAACCCTAAAATTGAGTCTACCGAAGAAGAAGCTGTGCCTTCACTGCAAACCAGTTCTGCTCTGTCCTTGGATGTGGTGGATCTCGGACACTTTTCATCTCCAAACAGCTCACAATCAGATGTGGCATCTGCAGTACCTACAGTTCAAAGTGTCACAGGTATCAGTTCAAAATTTACAACTGATGATAAGAAAAGATTAATTCAAAGTTTGTTAGGTAGTTCTTGTGGTGGGAAACTTCAGAGGGGTGAAATAAAAAAGACAACAAATGAGTTCAACATTTCCACCCGTACTGTGCTTCGGATGTGGAAGAAAGCAAAAGAGCAAATGCTTGGTGGGCAGT